CTGGGCAGGGGCAGCTGCTCTCCCATCTGTCCACAGGTGTGGAGCGCGTTTACTGCCAGAGGTCTGCGGCTGACAAGCAGTGTGGGCACCCAGGGACACCCCTGCCCTCTGCAGCCCCTGCTCTCTGGACACTGGCCCTTACCATTGGTGTAGGGGTTGGCCACCTTCTTGTTGGTCATGACACGGGCCGTGGCGTTGTTCACCTGCAGAGAGAGGGACGGGAGCTCAGTGCCTGCAGGCTGTGGGACTAGCGAGGCTGTGGTCCAGGTGTGTGGTGTGGCCCGGGGGTGCCCGCCCGCTGCTTCGGATGCCAGCGTGAAGGATGCCGGACGCACAGAGACACGAGACAAGTCTCTGCCCGCAGCCATCCCGCCGTGATGCAGACCTGTCCATGCCCCCAGCCAGCCCAGCCCCCCCAGCTCCAGCAATGAGCATGGGTCAGGCTGGTGACTGGTGCCCTGAGCGCTGTGGTGCCATGCTCAGGCTGAGCCCCGATGTGCTTCCCATGAGCTCCTACCCGGCTTTGTTGGACCACATTGTCCCTGTCCATGGGGCATTGCTGTGCCCTGCCAGGCTCCCTCCCTGCCCCCAGCACTGCTGGGGACATTCTGTCCCACTCCATCTGCCACGTGCCACCCTGCTTGCCAGCCACCAGCAAGAAGCTGCTGACGATCAGACAGAGCCCAATCCCTGTGCCAGGCTTGGAGAAATCAAAGCCTCCAGAGTGGGGCAGCAGCTGGCATTGTAGGTGCAGAGCCCTGAGTGGATCCTCCCAGTGCAGGGCAGGTAGAGACAGCGCTGGGGGCAGAGCCCCTCTGCTCCCTGCAGAGCCTGGGGTGGCTGCACAGTGGGCATGGGGGTCCACCAGACCCCTCTGTACCAGGTAGAACGCAGCCCCAGCTGACACCATGGCTCTCCTTGCATGTGGGAGGTTCCTTTGGGCTGGACACTCCTGGTGCCAAGCAACGACCTTCCCAGCAGCACACATGCTCCCGTGCTACATTCGGGGACACATGCACGCGTTGGGCACAGCTCCCTGGGGCACCCGGGACCCGGAGCTGCCCCCAAGCGCCCCGCAGCCCGGGCAAGGGACACGCACACGCAGGCATGGCACGGCACTAGCACACTTATCTGAGCACCTCAATCTTCCGGCCCTCTACGATGGTGCCATTCAGCTTCTCCCGTGCCCGGTCGGCATCTGTGCTAGTTTCAAAAGTTACAAACCCAAAACCCTGTGAGCAGAGGAGAAAAGGAGAAAGAAAGAGACAGAGAGAGACAGAGAGAGGGTGTGGGGACAGAGAGAGAGAGGGGGTGAATCAGGAGAGCTGGCGCAGGAGGTGAGGCTGCCGCAGTGC